AAGACAGGGAGAGCATACAATGTTGGCAAAGTCCACCATAGAATGAATTAAAAATGGGGAATAAACTATCAAAACCAGTGGTGCACATTGGAGAAAACTTGTGAATGAGGTTGAAATATGCGTAGGACCTACTGAATACTGAAAGAATTTACTGGAAAATAGGTTTTATCACTTTTCCTTTTAGAAATGGCACTGCCAGGTTTGTGTGATTGTACAGTGTGGATGATCAAGTTGCAGGAGGTTTTCAAGTAAGAGACCCAGGGATGTCACCAAGGTCAGTCCTGTACGTCCTTCACACTGAAGTGCTAGTTCCCTGCATATAGCCTTCCTTCATGTGACCAGCCAATGCCAAGGACAAGCTGACATAATTGTTTTTTGGTTTGTTGCAGTTAGAGGTTATTCAGATATAAGCATTTAAATAGGTAAACACACACACACACACACACACACACACCAACAAAACCAAGACACCTCTTCCCAGTTCATAAGAATTTTCTCATGAAGAGACAAATCTATCATTTTTTCTGTACTGTGGCAGTGCTCCTTGCAGCATCTTTTTGCTGTTGATGTTTCTCCTGCATAAAGGGAAACATTATTTAATGTTTTCATTTGGTTTCTCTACGGTACAGGTGCACATGCCTAAGCACAGTTGGCTCCCTGCTAGCTTTCCAAAAGACTTGTCACAGAAAAGAAAGTGACGTGCCAATGCAGCATTTAGCAAAAGAGTGAAGAAAGGGAAGTGAAAACCCAGCAATTGTTCTTACCTTCTTAAATAGATTCTGTTTTGCACTACAGGAGCACACTTCTCTGCATGGCTGGCTCTTGTGCTAGTTAAGCAAAACTTGTCACAGGAAACAAAAATATTTGCCAACTTGGCTTTAATGCAAAACCTATTCTTTGTTCTTTTGCATACATCAAATGTCAGCCTCTCTATAACCCTCTGACAGGAAGCTGGCATGAAAGACAAAACACAACCAGGTGCATCCTGGCAAGCAAAAACTATTCTGAAGAGCTTAGTAGCCCTGCTTGGTAGGAGAAGAGGGGGGCTAGATTTGTTTTGTTTGCCACCAATCAGTCATTCCAATTTTCATACTTAGAATATGGAGTACAACTTTTATGTAAATACTAGGCCTTAGAAACATCGGAGCTTAGTAATATAAAAGACGTATCATCTTAATTTTCTAACTTGCTTCCTTCATCAACTGAGTACACAGGGATTCTGAAATTCCAGAGTTGAAAGAATAATCCTTGGAGGTACATTTTTCCCAAAGTCCAGCTTAGAAATCTATTAAACAAAACACGTCCCTACAATCGGGGTGATGTGTCTGTCTCAGTTATTATGCCTAATTATAAGTATTATGAAAAATACATTTTCCCTGTATCTAATAGGCAAATGCATATATTTGTATCTTTGTTTCTATTTAACCTATTGCCTAGATTTACTTTCGTTGCAATTACTGTCATGTACTCTCTTTACTAACATCAAGTGTTCTTCGTACAGGAAGCATTATTAACATTACTGAATTTTCATCACATTTCATGTATCATAGGAAACGTTATATGCAAATTCACCCAAATTTCACAGCATAAATCTCCAATATTAGCATTGTTCTTGGTCTTTTCTGCATATTTTAGTAGCATGTTTTGAAAGAATTTCAGACAAGTACATCCAAAACAACAATAGGCTTAAATAACTGCCTTTTGTGAACTGAAATGACAGCTTTTATATAGGAAAATCTGATCTTTTCTGTAATATTCAGTAGGATTACATTAACAAAAATACATTTGTAATTCAATAGGATGAAATCTGATAAAAAGCATTTAAAAATCCTAGTAGATCGATTGTGCATAACCATTGCAAGAGAGCAAATTCAACTAACAAAAAGGCTTTTTAAACACATTTCACTGTGCAAATTTTTTTTATAAGGGTATAACTGTGTGATACATTATTTGAAGCATGTAAGCAGCAAATATGACACTTCATATTATTTTTCTGCCTTTAAAATACTTGTTTAGAATTTCAGAGACTTGTTTTCTTTGCCAGTTTCTGTAGCATAGTTTTTATGAGCCAGTCAGCTCAGACCGTCTAATCTTTTTAGATGCCAAGGTCTTGCATTGTTTCCTATGTTACCAGACAAGCACAGTGCTAAATGTCTCTGCTGCAATTAAAAACAAACAACTTGTATCTGCCAAGACAAGCAGCTTTGACTTTGTGCACACCTACATAATATAATGAGTATTCTTGGAATATAAACAGTAATCAGTGAGATGCTCAGTGATGGCATCTGACCCATATACATAGAAGAACTTCAAAAGCAAATAAAATAAAATTGAGAGTGTTTATCTGTGTGTCGATCGGTTACATACCTTTATTTTCTCACTTAACATTCAAATTTCTATGGTCTGTATTTCATTAGAGTAACTGGAAAGCCCTTGCTCTTGCACAGCAATGGGAAGAGATACTTCGTATTCACTAGAAATGAATCTGTAGGCCTACCTGGTCCAAATAGGCCTAAGCACATTCTAATTGCGTCAGGGTCTAAAGATGCTAATTCTGTTGAAGTTAACGGATATTTTTGTACAGACTAGCGGATCTTAGAATATTTGTTAGCTGGAAAAGTTGACCATATTATCTACTTGCCTCTTTCTTTATAGCATTTCCTCCTATTCAAAATATTTATCTTTTTTTCTACCACTTACAATCACTACATTTTTTTTCAGTCTGATTTTAATTTTTCTGATTATCTTCCAGAGAACTATACAATAGTTTATTTAATTCCCCACATCTGTACAATGAAGTTTGTTCTACACAGCACAGTAGCAGAAACTGTATTTATAGAACAGCTGAAACTCAAAAAAATGTAGGCAAGCTTTTGGGCACAGTCTTATCATCTCCCATAACTAAACAACAACTTCAAGCTAAATACAGGTTAAGAACAATTTATCTTAGTAAAATAGCTGATTACATCAGTTTAAACTACATATGTAACAGCTGCAGTAGCAGAGAATAACTTCATTTTGTTGCCGTAGAAAATGTATTTTTGATTGCACATCCTACTCATCTGCTCTAAAGCACATCACTACTGTTGGCTTTAAGCTAAGGGTTGAAGTCTAGTACAGTGCTTCCAGACATCTCATTTGTGTCTCTTTCATAGGTGTATTATAGACAATTCCTACGAGAGAATAAATGTTTAAGAAGAGGCTGTGTCACTGTCATAAACAAAAGTTATCCAAAAAGCCTGCACCTTCAGATTTAAACTTCTGAAAAAATAATTACTTAGCCCTAAATATGAATACACATTTCAGATAAGAAATGCGTTTATTATTAGAACTTCTGCTTTAAGCCTGAAATTAAGCACCATCAAAATACCTTTATATCACTGAAATAATAAAAAATGGAAATATACCACGAGTCTCATTGCAGTTATGATTTATTTTCATGCTGGATCGTGAATGCAAGGACAGAAGAAAGAGATTACATCTTAGAAAAATACCTGTTATTTGCAAGTAGTGTTACATGCATCTTCTGAAAGTCCTACTTTCACCACCACACAAAGGAGAAGAGCTGCTTTTTGTTCACTGCAGAAACTAGCTTCTTGCTCATTTTCTTCTTTGACTTGATACTTATCCATCCATTCTAAGGAGGAGCTAGCTGCCATTCAATCCAAATGCAGCTCAATTCTAAAGTCACACCTGAAAGAAACTTGAAGAAAAGGCAAAGAAAGTGCTAAATGATCACACAGGCAGCACATCTCCAATATTGCATGCTACTGGTAAACCCATGTTTTTCTTTAAATAAATCCGTTTGTACATTCTAACAAGCAATTACCTTGCTGGAAGACTTCCTAGCAGGAAGCCTTGGAGTCTGTCGTACAGGCCCTTGAACATTGTATCAGCCCTTCGTGCTGCAGCACTTTGGTGAAAATGCTGCACCCTATAGAGTTACCCAACAGGTATCTGGGATTCAGTTATTCTCAGCACGGCCAGAGAAGAGCACCATGTATTCTTATGTGCTCACAGGAAGGAATGCAAACAGATGATTCTCAGGGAACATTACTTCCGCAATCCTGCTGCAGTTTTGCAACACACCAATGCTAAAATTATGCAAATGTTCAGATACTGCTTATTTTTGTCTTGCTCTATTATTCTTAAAACTGGCTTATAATAGTTCTGTGAAATTTGAGTTTCATTGCTTCCTGAGTTTACCCTTCCAAACCACTACTGCTTAAGAATTTATGATCCAAGCCAGGGATGCCTTCTCTCTAATATGGTGTGGATTTTTTTTTTTTTTTTCAGTTTGTTTTCATTGGTTTTAATTTGTAGGCTGAGCATGTTCTTTTCTTGAAAGAGGTTCAGCAGACAGACAAGAAATCTGTGCTTCCAAAGTCATAATTGCATCAAAGAATAAGATACTACTGCTTGATGTCAAGAGAAGTTCTCTTTTTGAATATTAAATAATACAGAAAATGCATGAAAAATTATTTCCTTAGTTTCTCATTTGACTGCTAGAGGACTGTCATTAGATGACAACTATAGTGAGATGCTCATCCCTTTACCTCAACAACAACATACTGATCATGCTCTCTCAATCAGAAATAGCTCATTTTCTCACATTCTAACAATACAAAACCTATAAACATTCCAAACTCCAGCTTGTAATGATTTTCAATAAGTAAGTGTACCGGAGGCATAGTAGAAGGTGGCAGGTTTGTACAAAAAGAAGCAACCGAGAGGCATAAAATATATCCGATAGTAGAAAGCTAGACTGCTGTACACATTGAATTGTGAATATTTCTACTGCCTATCAAAAGTCTGCTGCTCACTTCTGTGAAGCAACTGCAAGGTAATCAACTTTTCCTTCTTCACAGTCTGGGGGTTTACAAATAAATGAGTTATGAGAAGCAGGGAATGAAGGAAGCAGAGATGGAAGAATATTTATTACAAAAAAAAATTAAATTTGTGTTTCAGAAACTCAAAGAAGACAGTGCAAAGGAGAAAACTGCTTTTGTGGATCTAGTTTATTAATAAACATTGTAATTAACAAGACAACATGCTGTACATAAACCTGAAATAGAATTACTTTAAATTTACTGGACTTTAAAAGCTGCTGGACAATGATATATGGTGTCCAACTGCATGATTTGTAAAGCATGGTTAGGGCTGCTTCAATACACAGACATATACTGCTCACTCTCAGATCCTGTAGTATGCCATAGAGCAGGGACATTTCCCAGAAATACAAACCCAGATATTTACAAGAAACTGTCAGTCTCTTTTCTTCACTAGGGATAACATGTTATACACAATTTCCTACATATACCAAATAAAATCTTTGCCTTCAACTTTGCTCTGTGTCTGCACAAACCGATCCCTCCCTTTTTACTTATCTAATTAAATAATGGTAGTAAACTGCAGTGTAATCATATAATAAATGATTATTTAATAAGGAGTAGCTTCAAAGCTGCAAAAGCAAAACTTGAGCTAGAATTAAGAACAAAATCAAGTGTAAATGATCAAGCTTTCTCAAACTTCATAAGCTTGAATCAAACGACCTTGCACTAATCAACCATTAATGACTTAATTATTTAAGTCAACTATCTCACTCAACCATGCTAGAAGCAGGCACAACAATGATAATTTGAGGCTGAAGTGGTTCCTCACTGGATTAGAGCTTGCCCAGAAAACAGCGGAGCAATGTATCACTTCTCCCAGGGGGAAAAAAAAGCCACCACAAAAACTGAAAACCCGCATATCTGCATACACGGGGTACATAAATACCTGATACCACCTGATACAAAGTGGCTAAAGCCTTCATCCCTATGCCAGACAAAAAAGAAGACCCGGTTGTATTCAGAACCACATAACTAACTTTTCCTTAAACAAAGCTATCACACTAACATTCTTAAGCCCTCAGGTCCTATTAGCATGGGCTCATTGCCATGATAATTAGCTAAATGACCTGCATTTGACTGCCTCATAGCCCTGAGAGAGCAGGTGCTCTGTAACCTCTGTTTGGTCAAGCAGACAGGGCCTAAATATTCTTCCTTTAGAATTAAGTTACACAGCACAGTTTAGCAAAACAAAGAACTGGCTTTTGTTTATTATTTTTTTTTTAATTATTTTTACAATGAACAGTTTGACTTCAATTCATCTCCTTTTTTTACACTTGGCTATTTGACATCAAAAAATTGTCTTTCTTTCTGCTGCTACCACTTATTTTCTCAATGCAGTAGTTGGAAGTGCAACAAGCATGTACTGAGCTTGGGAAAAAAAAATCTAGGCTAGACTGTGTGACACATTACTTTGAAGGCAAAGGTTTTCCTTTATTGTTACACTGTATGAAACAAATCTAATCATGTAACTACCATTTTACTGTATATTGTATATAGGATCGTTTTCTTCACAAATTCGCACAAGTAAGATAAAATAAGTTAAGAGACTAAAAAAATTACACAAAAATATACAGCCTATGCACTAGATAAATTACTTATATATATGGCAAGATGTATAATGAGCCTATAGTAACATTATTCCTCTGGATACTGACACGACACTTGAACAGACCACAGAAAAAAAATGTTGCCTCCAATGCATAATTTTACATATTAGATATAATATGCAAAAATGAAAGCAACATTTAACTCCTGATACAGTATGTATTTACAATTAAGTGTTATGTATCTTGATGACAGAATTTTACAATACCATAACACAATTTCCTGGATATGACATTTAACACTTCCTATTATCAGATTCATCTTTACAATTCATCTTGCTTAAGCAGTTGTTCTTCGGGTTTTTGTTGGTTTTTTGTTCATTTGTTTAGGTGTTTTTTTTTTCTTTTGTTTGTTTTCTTTTTAGAAATAATTTGCTAAATTTTTTTGCTTTCTTTTGTTCTTCTGCCTCTGAAAAAAATATAATTCTACTGTCTTTATCTTTTCCTGTGAAAATAGCAAAACTGTAGGAATGGATTGCTTTGCCAATAAATTTCAATTACAATATTCTGTCAGAAAGGACTGTTGAGAGGAAAAAAATGAGTTTTCAAGTGCAGCTGCCAATTCTATATACACACAATATAGCAGACTTGTATAATAAAAACTGAAGTCCACTGCTTACAATAGGAAGTATTATATGCCAGCCTTATTCTAAATTTGCACAATTAATGTGTTTGGTAAGGCTGTGTAAACTACAGATAAGGTTTTTTGTATATCCTGAAAAGGACTGCTGAATTTTTCTAACTATGATGTCTCCAAAGCAAACAACAAATGGTTCTGTATATATTAGGTGTAAATTAATTTGTCAAATTTTTGGTTGTCCTGGAACTGAAAATGAGCTGTATCAACCGTTGTGTGTCAGTAGCCAAAGGACTGTTTTTCTTTTTTCTCCCAGGATTTACATGCAACCAGAAAGCAGTGTGCCACGTCTTTTCTAAACATTATTGAAAATTACATTAACAAAAAAACAAAAAAACAAAAAAAAACCCAGAAGTACATCGTCAGATAATCTGATGTTTATTAATTAAACCCTACCAGTAGATTAAAAGTGATGCTTTTTTTTTTTCTTTTTTTTTTTTTTTTTAATTTTGCACATAAAATGTAAATGTGATTTGAATAGATTTACAGTGGGGACAACAATATATAAAGCTACTTATACCTGCTGGGCACAAAATAGAAGCTCTTTTAGCATTCATTGGAAACCCTCAACAACTTGAACTTCTGTAAATTTTACAAGCAGCTTTTTTACAGCATTTTTACACTCCTTTTTTAAATTTCATTTCATTTTTATGTTACACGTAAGTTACAGTATGAAGCTTACACAGAATTCTGTCCATGGGAAATATTCATAAACTTTCAAATTTCCCTCCACACAACTTCAATTGTCTCATCTAATGTAGTAATAAACTAAACAAAATTATGCAGTTTGTTAAAGAAAAAGATCTTGGTATGTACACACTGTAAATGATGATGGCTAAACAGCAACAGAATGCTAAAAGGAAAATGTGGTGTTTTTTCTTTTTTTAATTGAAGAAAGGAATCTCCATTTTAACCACTATAGAATTTACTAGTTTTATTTCTGCTACTATTATACCATCCAGTACACAAAACACTAAAAAAAAAATCCTCATCTTTACAGAGAATCATACTGAGACTTTGTCAAATAATATGATTGGAGTGTGTAATTATAGTTATCCAGCACTCATTCCCTGGATTCCTCTTTCTTTGCTGAGAAATGTCTGTGATTCTCTAATAATAAACTAAGCTACAATGACAACTACTCCTTTATCTTCTAAGTTTGGGGTGAAGTAACTAATATTATCGCTAACCTTTTACTGAACACTTGCAATAGGTGATTGATTATAGCTGTAAAACAAACATATACATCACTATAATATTTTAAACACCAGTAGCTTAAAGCCACAATAAGACATCAGCCAAAAAACTACCCCAGTTTCCTACTGATTTCAGCAGTGCCCATGTAATTTTCAACTAACAGGAACAGTAGCCAAAGCAAGCTCTGCAAGATAAAAAATAAAAAAATTAAAAAAATTAGACTCATAGCCTGAAAAGCATATGCATTATACTGTTGCTTTTATTATTGCAGAAAGGAAAATCTTAAAAAAAAATTAAAAAGAAATCTTGTAATATTTTTAGATCTATATTGCATCCTGTCCTGTTGTCTATTTCACACAGAAAAGCCTAGTAAGAGCTTTCTATTTCATCTACTGCATTCTTTCAAAGAATAAATACCTGTAGATTCAACCACTGAAAATTAAAATCAAAAGCAGCTGTCATGTCTTTGAGTACATTCTTCTCAATTACATGAAAAGTAAGTTTTGGTAGGAATGTACACCATCCTTCCAAAGTATGTCTTTTTATATTGTGTAAGGTAACCAAAAAAGAAATTGACCACTTGATCTCTATTGGTAAGCAAATGGAAGGTGAAATCTATGAATACCTTATAAATTATAACAATGAAGACAGAAAAAAATTGGTAAGTTATGTTACTGCAATGTTTCCTAAGCTGTATTAAGAAATTGCTTTCAACAGGGAGGAAGACCTGCTAGCAGATATTTGTACCATATAGACCCATATTAGAAAATAAGCAGGTTTTTAAGGTTTTCTTTTGATTGGCTCTGGATTTTGAGTTTTCTTCCCTATTTTATATATTTTACTAAGAATTGGGGTGAATTTTCTTTAACTAAGTCCTAAGGATTTAGCTTTTCAAGTTAAATTTAGGATTCTATATACATAAATATTCACAAGCCTAACAAATTTGTATATGCACTAAGAACAGTGTTAGGCTGTGACTATATACAGTAACACCTTAAAGCCTGAAATAGCCGATTTGTCAGATATGCATTTATAGCTGGTGCTCATGGATAAACGTAGTGCTACCCCCAGACACTGCTGCCTGGTGGGACATGGCAAAATTTGCCAGAGGGATGACTTTGACAGGATCTTCGCTGGTGCACTGTCTTTCACAGGTGTTGTAGAACTGGGGCCTGGGCCCACCTTGGCCTTTGTCAGTGTCATCCTTTGGAAGGGGCCTCCCAAGAGTGTGTCGTCCGTCAGACCTGGCTCCTCGGCCCCAGCTTTGCTGGAAGCCAAATGATGGCAAAGGTGTGTTGGATTGTTGATACTGTGTCAAAGAAGGTGGCATCCAGCAGTTGTCAGAATGGCCCAGGATGAGACACTCCTGCGTGCAGGTTTCAGAGGCCTCAGCCAAGGCTTTCTGGAGATTTACTTCAATAGCTGGGAAGACAGAACAAGATAAAAAAAATTACCAAAAGATTTAAACAATGATGTACATAGAGAATGAAGGTTAAGAAAGCAATCCCAGTTCTAAAACAAAGGATGTATTTTGGAAAGAAAATACCTGCAGTAATACGACTTAAGTGAACATGAAGATGCTTTCAATTTGGAGGCTCACAGTGGTGACATAGGCAAGCATCAGAAAAAACATTAGCATTTTAAGAACAGATGATAACACCACTACAGCCCAAGTAACTAAAGCCCTTACACAGTCTACGTATAATGATGTTTTTACTTTCTAAAATTGTCCCTTTAGTAATAAAGCTAAAAGCTTTACAATAATCTAGCAATACAATACTTTTTTGCATTCATGAAAAAATAAGATTAAAATTAGATTTTAAAAATATGCTGTTAATGCTGGATTTTTTTTTTTTTTTCTCTGTTTAAGGAAAAAAAACAAATTTAATTTGGATATAGTCAAAGGTGGTACATTGGTTTCAAAGATGCACTCAAGAACTTTAAGAATGAAAGACAGCATTACAGTTATTTTAAAGAGGATTGATTTCTTGATGCATTCAATACTGGAAACCTTGAAAAAATCAAAGGGTAATAGCAAGAAAAGCTGTAACCTCTGTAGTTTACAAGTAATCGAACCAGAGCTCTTGAGTAGATGCAAGGTTTGTGCTCTTGAAAAGGATTACAGAAATGATAATGTGTTCAAAGGCCAACTACTAACTGAGAAACACATAATTTTCAGTACATAAAAAATCTTGATCAATTTCATTTAAATGAGTGGTTTTACTAGGTAGATTCAAATTAATGTAATTAAAATTCCAAAAATCATCCCTTGAAATGTTTTTCATATTATATATAATAATAATTTTATATTATCTTACTATGAACAGAGTTAAAATATGTCAGAAGAGAGGAAAAGTCTCCATTCAGATATTTCACTGTGTCCTTTCACAAAACTTCAACACTATTTTTCTTTATGATAAAAGCTATGTATGTATTTTTAATATCTAGCTTCAAGAAAATAATCTTTAGAAATGGGTTCTGGCTCGCAACTAGCACAGAAATTATGCTGTTACAAATTACTTATTGCAATATGAGTTCTAAGTAGGAGCCCCTCATCTTTTGAGCTTTGTTTGTAAACAGATGCTTTATTTCTGCTTTAATTTAATGTTCTGTTTTTACTTTGAATGTTGAAATCTGTATAAACTACGAAGCATAAGTACATATTTCCATATTACATCTAAATACAAATGGATTTAGTTTTTCCTTCAGACATCAAAATACATAATGCTGCTGTCCAACATACAGGATACATCTTTTTTTGAAGTCTACCACTTATAAGTAGTCAATTAGTTTCTTGCTGTTTCATTAATGTTATATTCTTGATAATTTCTCCTGAAGGACACTGTACATTGCATCTGCCTGTTAGGGAAATCAGTGTTTATAAATGTTGGTTTGCCCTAGTATTAGCATTTCAACATGTCTACTGTCATTTTGTCTCCATATGTCTGAATGTAATCCTGACAAAGCGTTGGCACCTTCCTGTTGAAATACTAATCCAGTTTTGATGGGTAGTGGGATATATAAATATGAAAATAATTCAGTAGAGAAAACAGTTCACTCAAAAAAAGTTACTACTGCTAGATTAGTCTAATCTCTTTGTGTCCTACTATGTGCTATTAGAAAAATAAATCTGAGTATATACAAGCTCTTAAAGCTCTTTAATTATCCAAGTTTCCTTCTCTTCTGATCAAGACAATTCACTGAAATCAGGTACATCCTTGACTACGAGTTGAGTAACCCCTGACTTATGAACCCCTGACAGAAACTGATATTTTTGCATTTATTAGCAAAACATCTTTGATACTCAATCCCTCAGTGTTCCTTTTATTTCAAGGTATCACCTAAAATTCTTTTAATTAATTAAGCTGGAAAAATACAGTTATTTGTTTGGAAATAATGTATGTATTATGTATTACTAGCTCCACATAGCAAGTAGATACAATACTCGTAGTATTATCTAATGCTCGAATAAAAAAATAAAATTAAACAATTAAAATCAGCATTTGGCAATAAAAACATAACATTTAAGCTTTAGACAAGGCAACTACAGAAATAAAAGATCACTTAAAAAACATTCTTAACACCATCTGGACAGATCAGTATGACAGTAACTTTGTGTCATGAGTTGTCAGACTGCATGCAGACTTGAAACATGCTAGTGTGCAAAGAACAACAATGTTCTCAGGATGCCAGTCTCATTTATTATCTTAATAAAGGATTTGCACATGAGTTTTAGTTTTAGCAAAAATATTATGCAAAGACGCTATCAAATCATTAGTACAACTCTGGGCACAATCCTATGATATGAGTACAAATTATTTTGGCTTTGAGGTTTGAGTTTAATTATATAACAATCCTGCACTTACAGACTGTTGAGAAGATACATTTTTTTTGTAGCAATCATAATCTGTCAGTGTAGGTATTTGCAAAACGTAATCTTGATTGTCAAAATAATTCTATTTTTCATCACTGCTTATAATTAGTATATGCAAAATATACAGTTCTCATTAATTTTGAAGAGTTACTTCCATTTTCTACTGAGCAGCTCTGCAGTGCTGCAAGAGAACAGCAAATAAAAAAGTATTTAGGACATACAAGTACTTTTCTGTCTGACTCATTTTTTTTTCCAACAGTAACAGTCAAGTTTTGTTTATAATGCACTGCACTTAAAAAAAAAAAATTATCAATCTCTACTGTAACTTCAAAAGAAGAACATGTTTTATAAAATGAATAGAAGAGGGCTTTTTTTTTTTTTTTTTTTTTTTTTTTTTTTTTTTAAATTTGAAACATCTGCATATAGGCCATAGCATTGCTGCAGCCCTGAGGCAGCTTTGAGGAGATTGGGTATGCTGTAGGAAACCAAATTAACTAAGGGTGTGACCATGAATATATTGTGAGACAGGCAAGGTCCTCACTATTTACATTTAAAGGAATCTTAGAAAATCTCAGCAACTGATCTGTTGCAGTAAGAACTACTAGCAAGGATAATCAGGATGCAAAACAACTTCTTTTTTTTTTTCATTATCTTTTTTTTTTTCATTATCTTTTTTTGCTTGTTCTTCTAGGTCACGAAATGTAGCTTCTTTCAGTCCTTCTAATTCATTCTCCATTCTCCTAAGATATCACTCTTCTTCTTCATTAGCACTTGAAATCTTTCTCACTTGCTTCCCGGCCCTGGCAGTCTATTGCCATCTAAACTATACTTTAGTTATAAAAATGTTACTTTTAACAATCCCTGCTTTTTATCAGCAGTAGAGTGTACTGCTAAGGGTGCCAACTCACAATACAATGCTGCTGATTTCCAAAATTCTGTTACCAACTTAAAAAGAAAGGAGTCAATGTAACTAGCACTGAGCCTGGCTCCCCCTCCTCCATTTGCTGCTCACTTAAAAGGAGGGAGTCAGGCTGGCTCCACAGAGCATCCCAGAGGACAATATGAAGAGGAATGCAAGCACTGCTGGGCGACAGTCAGGTTCAGTGCTCAACAGGCCATTTATCCAATGCTGTGTAAATTGACCACTGAATTTGCTGGATGCTACTCTTAAAGCTTCTTTTTGCTTTGCATCTTTTTATGCAGGCAACTGTTTGTAATAGTTACTTTATGCAAGTCACTGCTAAATGTAGGTGAAAAGAAAAACTTTTGAGCCTTTCTCTCATTCAAAATTGGTAATATTGGTAATTATTCTTTCAGTCCCATAAGTATTCTGGTAAGAAAAATCTATGGAGTCTGCCTCTAACAATAAAGTTAAAGAAGGTTTCTGCCATTTCTGAGTATTTTCAGAATAGAGAATTTCTGTACAGAAATTGTCTAGTAACATCTCATGTAAGAGAATCATCAACTACGACATGCAAGTAATATGAAAGAATTTTTAATTCATCCAACAGATCACACTCATACACGTATGAATTTACCAGTGTTGTTTGAACTCCATATTATTTTAGGAATGAAGCTGTTATTTAAACTGTCTGCCTCAGAACTAAGAACGTTTTTTAAAGAAAATGTATGTCAGTTCTTATGAAATGTTTAGATCAGAACTGTCAAATATATCTAAAAGCACAATAGTTAAAAGGCTTTCTTCATTGTTCTGCAGTCTTTATCATTTATAGGTCAAAACACTTTTCAGTAAGAACAATTATTTTCACTTAAAACATTGAGTTTCAACTCAAGTCAGGTAGCTACCCTTCAGTAAAAGCAGTTATAAAAAATACTACTTAATAGTTTTATGTTTGTAATTGGTTGTACCTTTCTATGATTACAAAGTCCATGTATGGTATAGATGAAAATACAAATGCTGAGTATTCTTCTTGCATATGAAATAAAGCTAAAGAATTCTATAATGGTTTTTGCACTATCAGTCTACAAAATACATAGAATAATGCACGCTTTGAAGCTTCCAGCTCAATATTGGAAGCTTAAGACTATTCCTCATCGAGAATTCTCAAAGGAAGACAAGCTGTTAATACCACTGTGTTACCAGCATTCTCATAATGTTGTGTACATTGCTGTATATAAGACACACTTTCTTTTCTACCCCTATACCCATATGTCCATACCAACCAGGAGGTGTACTACTAAGATAAGATCACAAAATTCATTACTTGCATTATGGAATCATGCAGGCTTAGGTTGGAAGGGACTTTTGAAGATACCTGGTCAAAATTACTGCTCAAAGCAGGCTATCTTGATCAAGGTATATGGTGTTTTTCCAGAAGTTCAGGCCGAACTTTAACAATTGCCTTATTGCCTTACATCTCCCCTGAAAGATTTCTTAACACATTTCAAAAGGGAGCTGCACATTCTTAAAGCTGACCAATCAACAGTGTGATTTTCTGGAGAATCCTTAAAATGTCCCTATCTTTATCCACATTAAATGTAATAATAATCAAAAGGAATTGGTAAATTTTCATTAGCAAAGTATTCA